GGCACAAGCGTACACTGTCGCTGTCTTCTTATTGTCTTGCCGATCGGCGCGGGCCCTCGCACCCCCCCTCCCCCCCACCCCATGCAGTAGATCTTGGCTGTTTGTGGCGCCTGTTCCGAGCAGGCGGAGTCTCCCCCATGTGACGCACTGTTCCAAACAGTCGCATTGAGCAGGGGTCCGAAGCCAGATCCCCCTTCCCCCCTCACCCCGCTTCCGCCCAATGTCGAAACACTGAAGAAGAAAACGTTGACATTTTGGGATCTCCGAGCGGATTCTGTTGGGTCGGCATTGGACCCCCCTCCCCGCACCACATACCTCTTCCAGTGCGCGCGGAGCGCGCGGGGGGGAGGAGGACGAGGTGTGCGACAGGGAAGGAGTCATTTATGAGGACGAGAGATGTAGGAACGGGAGGAGGAGGAGGAGGAGGAGGAGGAGGAGGAGGAGGAGGAGGAGGAGGAGGAGGAGGAGGAATGGGAGGAGGAGGAGAGGAGGAGTGAGAGAGGAGGGAGGAGGAGGAGGAGGAGGCAGAATGGGAGGAGGAGGAGGAGGAGGAGGAGGAGGAGGGAGGAGGAGGAGGAGGAGGAGGGAGGAGAGGAGAGAGGAGGAGGAGGAGGAGGAGGAGGGAGGAGGAGGAGGGGGGGGGGCGTAGGGGGAGGAGGAGGAGGAGAGGAGGAGGAGGAGGAGGAGGAGGAGGAGGGGAGGAGGAGGAGGAGGAGGAGAGGAGGAGAGGAGGAGGAGGTAGGAGGGGAGGAGGAGAGGAGGAGGAGGAGGATGGAGGAGGAGAGGATGAGGAGGAAAAGGAGGAGGAGGAGGAGGAGGAGGAGGAGGAGGAGGAGGAGGAGGAGGAGGAGGAGGAGGAGGAGGAGGAGGGAGGAGGAGGAGGTGGAGGAGGAGGGTTAGGAGGAGGAGGAAATGAGAGGAGGAGGAGGAGGAGGAAGGAGGAGAGGAGGAGGAGAGGAGGAGGAGGAGGAGGGGGGGGGAGGGGGAGGAGGAGGAGGGGGAGGGGGAGGAGGGGAGGAGAGGAGGGAGGAGGAGGGAGGAGGAGGGGGAGGAGGAGGACGGAGGAGGAGGAGGAGGAAATGGGTAGGAGGAGGGGGAGGGAGGTGGGGGAGGAGGAGGAGAGGAGGAGGAGGAGGATGGAGGAGGAGGAGGAGAGGAGGAGGAGGAGGAATGGGAGGAGGTGGAGGAGGAGGAGGAGGAGGTAGGAGAGGAGGAGGAGGGATGGAGAGGAGGAGGAGGAGGAGGAGGAATGGGAGGAGGAGGGAGGAGGAGGAGGAGGAGGAGAGGAGGAGGAGGTAAAGGAGGAGAGGAGGAGGAGGAGGAAGGAGGAGGAGGAGGATGGGAGGCGGGAGGAGGAGGAGGAGGAGGAGGAGAGGTGGAGGAGGAGGAGGAGGAGGAGGAGGAGGAGGAGGCGGAGGAGTGAGGAGGAGGAGGAGGCGCCGCCCCAGGGGTGTGGGGAGGGCGCCCCGTGCCGACCCACGGAACGAGTCCGCGCGGACCCCCGAAAAAGTTCCCGGTCGCTGCCCCTCCGCCGTCGCGTCTTTCCCTTGTGATGGCCCGAATCTCCACCACCTCTGCCATAGGCAGGTGGGGGAGAAGGCAGGATGGGGAAGGCCCCCTCCTCCTCCTCTTTCCTCCTCCTCCTCCTCCTCTTCCTCCTCTTCCCCTTTCGCCTCGTCCTCCTCCCTCTCCTCCTCTTTCCTCCTCCTCCTCCTCTTACTCCTCTTCCACTTTCGCCTCGTCCTCCTCCCTCTCCTCCTCTTTCCTCCTCCTCCTCTTTCCTCCTCCTCCTCCTCCTCCTCCTCCTCGATCCTCCTCCTCCTCCTCCCTCTCCTCCCTGTGGCGGTGGTGGTGGAACATCGGCCCCTCGCTCTCGGGCCTTCGCCCGCTCGCTCGTCCTTGCATCGGGCCCTCGGCCGGTCCTGCTGCTGCCGTGAGCCGGTGCTCTTGACCCCGACGCACGTCCGGGGCGAAGTCCTGTGCAGACCCACGACGTCCGCGTGGACTTAGTGGGCCCTGGAAACGACAGGACTTAGTGGGCCCTGGAACCACAGAGATCGGAGGCCCGCAAGAAACGGGAGCTGCCGGTGTTCGGCCGCGTCCGGCCTCCGGGGGCCCTCAGGGGGCCCCGGGACCGTCAAAAGCCGGCTCTAGAGCGAAAAGCCGGCCCCAGGGAAACGGTCCAGACCTTAGTGGGCCCTGGAAACGACAGGGCCGTTTTTTTACCGGTTCCGTTTTGCAGTTTTTTTGCTGGTTCCGACGCCGTTTTTTTACCGCTTCTGTCGCCGATGTTTGACCGGTTCCGGCTCCGGTTCCAATCCTGGAGCCGTTTTTTTGCCATTTCCGGTCGCCGTTTTTTTGCCGTTTCCATTTTCAAGGGACATTTTTCCTGAAACGGTGAAAAAACGGCCCTGCCGTTTCCAGGGCCCACTAAGCGCGTGGACCCCCGAGAGCTGCTCGGCTGCGAGCCCAGGGGGGGAAGCGACAATGGGCGGGCCTTCTCCGAAGGCTCGGAGGTCCACCAGCCTTCCGAGAAGTCTCCCGAGCCTTCCTCGAAGACGGGGGGCCTTCTGAGAAGTTCCGCCGCCTTCTGAGGAGGCCTTCTCCTTCTCCCTGGCATCGCGCGGACGTGTGTATTTCTCCGTGGCGTGGGCCATCGAGGAGCATCCCAGATCGTAGTTCGAAGAAAGCACGCTCGGAACCGAAACATGCACGGGGAATGGACGTCCGAGCAATGGCAATTCTCACTTCCCCCTCGCTCGCCGCGAGTTCAGACTCCTGTCGGGGGCGACCAGTCCACCCTCGTCTCGGGTGGACGGCCCCAGATGTGGCAAAAGAGTGTGTGTGTGTGGGGAGTCGAGGACTTCGGGGGAGTGGCCCTAAAGGGCCCTCAACCAGGATCGTTCGACCGAACCCTATCCCATCCCCATCTCCATCTAGACTCATCAATTTCACACCCCAAGTTGGTGATCGGTTTTTATTCATCGTTTGGACGATCTGCGCGGGCTCAAAACCCCCTCCCCCCCTCCTGGAGTGGATCTTGGCTTTTCCGTTGGCGCATGCTTCGAGCGGGTGGAGCCTCCCCCAGAGGCAGCACTCTTGCACACAGTCGCACCAAGCAGATGCCCAGGGCCAGACACCCCCAACGGCGGAACGCCGACTTCGAAACACGCTCACGTGGGGATCTGCCCTTCGAGATCCGAAGGACACGGCCTCTGTCCCCACCGAGGGGCGGCCCGACCGACCCCCCGGGCACACCGACCCCTGCCGGGGCGACGCCCTCGCCCTGGCTCCAACTCCATGGTTGGAGCCTCGGGAGCGATGGGGTCTCGTCATGGAGGGGGCGTGCCACAGGAGGGTCGGGCCTCGAGGTGATCGTTTTTTCATTCGTTGTCTTGCCGATCGACTTGGGCCCCCCAACACCCTCCCCCCCATGGAGTAGATCTTAGCTGTTTTGGGCGCCTGCTTCGAGCAGGTGGAGTCTCCCCTCATAGGACCCACTGCTGCAGACAGTCGCGCTAAGCAGAGGTCGAGGGCCTCCCTAATTACTCCCTTCCGCCCAACGTCGAAACGCCGAATAAAAACGCTCACAAGGGGCGGGGGTCAATGCAAACGGGGGTCAGCCAGAGTGCCGCATCCTGCAGGGCCAGGGGTGCACTGACCCGGGTCTGGGTGCAGGTTCTTGCAGGATCCCGCAGGATCTAGCAGGATCCTGCGGGGCCTGACTGACACGAGTTTGCATTGACCCGGGTCAGTGCGTCCCGAAAGTGGTCGGTCGGGACGCGCCCGAGAGCGCTTACCGCAGGTTGGGCGCGAATTCATGGGGGGCGATAGTGGGGGGGAAGAAGGTATTCTTTTCGGGCCCTAGATGCCTCCTTCTAGGTCCCAGAGGATCCCTTTGGGGGGCTCTGAATGGCCCCTTGTCAGCAGTCCTCGCTTCCCCAGCCCTCGCTGCCTCCCCACTTACCGCCTCCCCATGTATCGCCGCCCAGGCAGGTTCGTGTTGTGCCGACTTCGGCGGTGGTCTCTGACGCCGCGGGGAGGGCTCAGCCTCAGACGCGATCGGCCGCTTCCGAAACGTCAGATCGTTCAGCATATACCGATTCCGGGCCGCCGGCGACGTCCAGCGCTGAAGGCTGGCGGCGGGGTCGCCGCCGGTCGACGCGGCGCGAACCTGCCGCGCGAGAGCCACGTGGCGCGAGCGCGCCTCGTGTCCCCGGAGGCCTGGACGCGCGGGCGCGCCGCCTCGGGGGGCCTGGCGCCGATCCAAGACATCTGCGCGGCCCTCCTGCAGCTTGGCGGAGACTGGAGCGTATGCACTGCCAGTGGCGGGCGGTGTTTCAGTCCCAGGACTCTTGAGGGTCGGGGGCGGCGTCGGGGCGGTGTGGTGTGTACTCGTTTCCCCGCGTTCCCGGGGGAGCAACGAAACATGTGTACACCAGGATGCCGTATGCACCAGAATACGTGTTCTTTTGCGAATTTCAGTGCGGGACCGGAAAATGCATCGGTGTATAAAGTTCGGTTCCTTAGCTTGTGCTTACGGCGTTCTTCTGGCTCGAGTGGCGGAGGATCATGGGCGGCCTAACCATCCCCTAGCAGACCATCCCCCCCGTGGCGTCCCCATCGCCTCGCCCCAAGACGTATGGATGCGGCCCGAGAGGAGCTCGAAAGGCGAGGATGACGTCACGGACGGGGATGGTTTGCCAGAGGTCGGTTGTGCCGCGCTCGAGAGGACGACGACGAGCGCCGAGGCCAGCCCCAAGCCTTCGGCCACGAACGCCCGCGCCGTCGCCGCCCTTCCCTCCGGGGCCGACTGTGCAGTGCTTCGTTTGTTTGTTTGTCTGTCTGTTTGTTTGGTTGTTTGTTTTTTCGTTTGTTCGTTTGTTTGTTTGTTCGTGTGTTTGTTGATGCAGACATCTCGAGAAGCATCATCTCCAGGCGACAGCGGCGGCAGGCTCTTCCGCTCCCAGAGCAGCCACCTGGCACAGCAGCTCAGCCAGATGAGCTTGCACAAGAGGCCAGCCCGGCACAGCAGTGGGGCCCAGGCCCAGATCTCCGACGAAGTGTTTTTTTTCAGTCTGGATGGGCTCCCTCGATTTCCGGCCTCCAGGGGCTGTCTTCGGGCCCCGTGGCCATCGACCAAAATATACATGTTACATATATATATATATATATATGTATATATATATATATACACACTCTGATACATACATTCGCAAGAGCATACATAGGGGGCCACATGCGAACCCTACCCCTACCCCCCACGGTTTCTGAGGGGCAGTGTGGGGTTCACTTCGCTCGGGAGCTCCCGAACGAAGCTCCCGAACGAAGTGAACCCCACCCTCCCCTCAGAAATCGGGGGGGGGGATAGGGGTAGGGTTCGCATGTGGCAGCGGCCTGCGCGCTCGGGTTTGGCCTCCCCGCGCCCGAAAGCAGCGCACCGAAGTAGGGTGACTAGATGTAAACATGCCCGCGGCTCCCTCCTCCTCCTCCTCCACCACCACCTCCTCCTCTTCCACCTCCCCCCTGCTCCTCCCCCTCCTCCCCCTCCTCCTCCTCCTCCTCCTCCTCCTCCTCAATCCTGAACCGTGCAGCAGTGTATACGCGACGCCCTCCTGGCTTGGCCAGAGGGGCGTATACGCAGTTTCTGAGTTCAGGATGGGCCTGGCCAGGGAGCGGTGGACCTATGTATAGATCTCGTCGCCCTGTTGCGCAGGTCATGGGACACCGCCGGGCGGCGGGAAGCCGCGGCAGAGCCTCCGGGGCCGCCATGTCCGCGGGCGGCGGGGACAAGGAGCAGAGGAACGAGGAGGAGGAGGAGGTGCTGCTGCTGATGATGATGATTGTGCTGGTGATGATGAGGAAGAAGATTCTGATGAATTTGACGAGGATGACGCCGACGGATGATGAGGATGATGAGGATGATGATAGTCATGATGATGACGATGACGATGATGCTGATGATGATGAGGACGATGACGATGACGATGATCATGATGATGACGACGATGACGATGACGGTTAAGATGACGATGATGCTGATGCTGGTGATGCTGATGATTATGGTGAAAAGTATGATGATGCTGCTGATGATGAGGAGGAGGAGGAGTAGGATGACGATAAAGACGACTCTGATGATTCTAGTGGTGATGATGATGCCGGTAATGAGTATGAGTATGTTGCTGCTGCTGCTGATGATGCTGATGCTGATGATGATGATGATGGTGATGATGATGATGATGATGATGATGATGATGATGATGATGATGTGGACGAGACTGACTCGATTATGACGGCGATGCTGCTGGTGCTGATGCCACTTATGATACGGATAATGCTGATGATGGTAATGATGCTGACGATGCTGATGATCATGATGGCGATGCTGATGATGATGCTCATGCTGCCGATCATGATGATGATTAAGACGATGATGCTGATGATGTTGATGCTGACATTGATGATGATGGCGACGATGACGATACCGATGCTGATGCTGGTGATGATGCTGGTGACGACGATGATGACGATGCTGACGATGACGATGACGATGAGATGCTCGTGCTGATGAGGATGCTGATGCTGATGCTGCTGATGATGATGACGATGCTGATGATGCTGTTGCTGATGATGCTGATACTAATGATGACGATGCTGATATGCTTCATGATGCTGATGACGATGGTGATGATGATGCTACTGACGACGACGAGGACTAGTTTGATCTGATGAAGATGTCGATGCTGCTGATGCTGATGCCGACGGAGATGATGACGTTGATGAGGATGGCGACGACGATTCCAATGATGACGATGACGATGACGGTGAACTGACATTAATGATGATGATGCTGATGATAATGATGATGCTGCTGCGGATAGTGATGCTGTTGATGATACTGATGCTGATGATGTTGTGGATTGTGATGGCGAGTATGACGATGTTGAGTCTGATGATGATGGCGATTTCGATGATGATGTTGGTGATGGTTCTGGTGGTGGTGGTATGATGTTGATACTGATGATGATTATAAGGACCATGCTGATGATCTTGGTGTTGGTGCTGGTGAGGTGATGATGATGATGATGATGATGGTGCTGATGATGATGCTGCTGCTGACGATGATGGTGATGCCGATGCAGATGGTGATGATGAGTATGATGCTGATGATGTTTACGATGGTAGAGACGATGCTGACGACGAGCATAATGATAATGATGCTGATGCTGATGCTGCTGATGATGCTGCTGATGACGACGATGATGATGATGATGATGTTGATGATGATGATGATGATGATGTTAATGATGATAACAGTGATGCTGACCATGATGATGATGCTGCTGCTGATGACGATGATGATAATAATGAGGATCCTCTGTCGCGAATCCAGCGGTCCGAGTCCGAATCTCTGGTCGGCTCGCGAGAGCGTGCAGGCAGTTTTCGTTCCCTGCGACGTTTCAGTTGCGTGTACCTTCTTCCATGTTGGAAGCCTTCTGGGATTTCAATCAAGTGCCTGCGACGCTCAAGATTCATATGTGATCGTTCTTGGGCCCCCCAACCCCCCCCACCTCCTGGAGTTGGTCTTGTTTTTTTGGGGGGCGCCTGTTGCGAGCGGGTGGAGTCTCCCCCAGAGGCAGCACTCTTGCAAACAGTCGCACCAAGCAGAGGTCCGGGGCCAGAGCCCCCCCCCTCCCCCCCTCCCTTCCGCCCAATGTCGAAACGACGAATAAAACAAAACACGCTCACCTCCTGGGTGGCCAGGAACACACCTGTGCAACAAGCAACTGCAAGCAGCAAAAAGAAAAGATGAGGCCCATAGGAATGCGGATGGGATAGAAGGGAACAGCACACATGAGTGAGGGTACTCAGCCCAGCTTCCGCACCCTTGTCCCAGAGCAGCTGAAAGCGCTCCTTCTTAGGGCGCGGGATGCTGGCATCATGGTTGTGCTTCTTGAGGAACGGTCTATGTACCCTTTTGACAAGGCTGGGTTTGCTCGTCCGCACGGCCTTGAGGCCCTTGGTGAGTTCCTTGATCGTGCCTCTCTTGAGAGGCAAGCAACGCGACCTGAGTAGCAGGGGTGGACCTAAACGGTTTTTTGGCGATTTCGTGGGCTGTTTTCGTCTCGATTCCGTTTTGCGTGAAAGGCGGATTGAGGACAAAACGAGGCAAAACGAAACACAGCGAAAACGAAAACACCGTTTACAGTGCCGTTTTTAACACATGATCCGCGTGCGGATCATGTATAAAAGATGCCAGGATTTTAGCCTTCAGAGCAACGATGAGTTCATGCATAAATTTCTTCCTGAATTAGTCATGCGTTGAACATCCAACATTAAACAATCTCCTCCTCCTCCTCCTCCTCCTCCTCCTCCTCCTCCTCCTCCTCCTCCTCCTCCTCCTGTATATTGAAAACTGCCTTGTAGGCCCAGCCCTGCCGAGCAGCGCTCCACACGGCGGGCATCCCCGACGGCGGGCGCAGGCGGGGCCGGAGAGCAGACGGGGCGCTGCGCTGCCGGATGCCCCCGCGGTGCCATGGGACAGCGTCCTGAGCCGTTTTGCTGCCACTGCCGCGGGAAGCCGGGGCGCAGTCGCGTCTCGTCGGGCGGGGGGAGAGCCCGCGGGCCAGGACGTGCCTTCCCGGCGGCATCCTCCAGGGGCCCCTGGCAACGACGGAGCGACGACTGGATCCGGATATGCGGGGAGAGCGCTCGGCTACCAGGCTCGAGTGTTTCATCCTGGGGAGGCCCTGCAGCCTGTGAGCCCGTGGCGGTCTCCCCACGCAGCGACCGATCGGGGGTGGAGAGACCTCCTACCCTGACACGTCGATTGAGGAATTGGCCGTTTTCGGTTCGCGAGGGGGCATCGCGGCCGTCATTTTTGCGGGTCCAGGTCCGTCGGTTTCGGTCCCAGGCCGTTTTCACTAAGGGGAGCTTTACTAAAGGGAGGTTTGTCCACCGCCGATCTCGGGCCGGACGACAGGGGGGGGGTTGGGAAAGGGGGGGTTACGAAATTTGCTGCGTGCCCCCCCGGTGCTGGGACAGCGTCCTGAGCCGTTTTGCTGCCACTGCCACGGGAAGCCGGGGCGCAGTCGCGTCTCGGGCCGGACGACAGGGGGGGATTGGGAAAGGGGGGGTTACGAACTTTGCTGCGTGCAGCTGGTTTCGGCCCCGCCGAGGGGCCCACTCCTCGATGCATGGCCGCCTCCCGGCGCCGGGAGGCGCCAGGAGAATCGGCTATACGTGAGCTGATTCTCAAGCCCCCCCTTTGCTATCCCCCCCTTTCGCCCGGCCCGAGCGTCCACAATGAGCTTGCCTTGGCGGGCGTACTCAGCATCCCTTCACTTCTGCGCTGGGTCCTTCAACTGCGTGCGAAAGCGTTTCGAGTGACGGGCCAGGTACTTCTCTGCTACTTTCACACTCTTCTCAGCATCGGTGGAGGAGTTGGAACCGGAGTCCTTCGCATGCTTTTTGGACGTTTTGGAGTGTTGCGGCTGTCCTGCACCCTGGCGGATGTAGATGATTTTTTGTGGCGAATGCGGTCGGAGGTGTTTTCGCTCGGTTGCTTCTCGCTCGGGTGTTTCACGCTCGAGTGCTGCTGCTGATGATGGTGACGACGATTACGATGACAATGACGATAAAGATGATGATGCTGCTGCTGATGATGATGATGATGATGATGGTGATGATGCTGATGATGATGATGACGATGATGATGATGACGCTGAATATGATGATGATGATGATGATGATGATGATGATGATGATGATGACGATGATGATGATGATGATGATGATGATGTTGATGATGATGATGTCGCTGCTGATGCTGATGATGATGGTGATGGTGCTGATACTGATGCTGATGATGCTGCTGATGAGCTTGCTGCTGCTGATTATGCTGATGATGGTGATGATGATGCTGCTAATGATGACACTGATGCTGATGCTGATGCTGCTGCTGCTGCTGCTGATGATGATGATGATGATGCTGATGCTGATGCTGATGCTGATGCTGATGCTGATGCTGATGATGATGATGATGATGATGATGATGATGATGATGCTGATGATGATGATGATGATGATGATGATGATGATGATGATGATGATGATGATGATGATGATGATGATGATGATCAGGATGATCATAGGATGATAAGGAGGAGGATGATGATGAGGAGGAGGATGAGGCGGAGGGGGAAGAGGAGGAGGAGGAAGCGGAACGCGGCATGAGGGACGAGGAATATGGCAGTAGGCGTTGGGGGATTTGGAAGAGCAGGAGGAGCGGGGAGTTTTAGCAGAACGACGTGGGTAGGTGCTCCTTTTTCTCCACCTCGTCCTCCTTGTCATTGCTACTGGTGCAGCTCTCACTGCAGTCAGACGCCACCTAGCGCAGAACCGAGCCGAGTTATGCTTGATTATTGTCTGACCGTCCTACCTCATCGCCCTTTTCGACTTCTTCATCGTCGCAGTCTTCAGATGCATCCTTCTGCTCCTTGTCCTCGTCCTCGTCCTCGTCCTCGTCCTCGTCCTTGTCGTCACCATTGTCGGCGTCATCCTCCCAGACGTCCGGCGATGCAATTCTTGTAACGCTCGGCCCCCTAGGTTTCGAACCCTTCCCCGGGGCCAGTTTTTCGCCCCCGATTGATTTTGATGGTCCCATGGTCCAAAAAAGGCCCCAGATGCCGAAATCGAGGACAAACGCCGGATTGAACAAGTCATATCGTCGGAGTTTTGGGTTCGTCGTCGCTGTCCTCCCTCTTCTCTTCTGGCTTGGCTTGCCGTCCTTGCTGGCCTCCCCTCGGATGCCACAGGTGCGTCTTCAATGCAGAGAATTCGCCGGGGCCCCAGTCGGGCCGCTGCTGGGGTGGAGCAGGGGAAGGAGGAAGGAGTGGGAATAGGACGGGAGGTGGAGGGAGTTACCTTTTCTTTCTTTGGATCGGTTCTCAATCGAAAAGAAAAAGCAGAGGCGACGCGTTTCATCACCGTAGGGGCTTTTAAGGGCCAGATTGCCTACGGTGCAGCGTCGGACGAGCAACGTCGACGATGGCACCAGAGGCGGAGCTGAGAGACGCCGTGTGCAGTGGGGGTTTCAACAACAAACCCGACCTACCCTCCCTGGCGTTAGGGAGGGAAGGTCAAGGGGAGGGATCGGGGGCTTGTGTGGAACATCACACGTTTCTTTATGACTACCAGTTGTCATACACAACTCACACGCTTTTAATGACAACCGTTCGAGGGGGATAGGCTTAAGTCGGGCGTGTCCCCCTACAGTGGGATTTTCGACGAAAAATAAGAAATACACCAAAAATGGTCTAAGAATAATCCAAAAATAGTCCGGGGGTTATTGTTGGGTATGTCTTAAATCTTTTTGTTTTTTTTTGTTGGGTATCTTTTTTAGGTTTTGTCGAAAATTCCCCTGTAGGGGGACACGCCCGACGTAAAAGGATGGGCTCCAGGGGGGATCCCTCGCCCCCCCGTCGCCCAGTCATCGCCGATATAGGGGCTCCGCTGGCGCGCCCCAACCAGGACTGTGTGCGGACTCGCTATATCGCATGCCTAATTGTGTCCGCTCCACCGGCGACAAAAATCGCCGATCCCAGCGCAAGGCTTTTCCCTGGCGTTCTCTCCCTCCATGGAGGGAGGCAGGGAGGGCGGGGCTGAGGGGAGGGGGGAGGAGGGGTGGAGGCTGAGGCTGAAAATGGGGGCACGAGGAGGGCATAGACGGAGAAGAAAAGGGGGAGCAGGAGGAGGAGCACAGCAGTGCGGAATCTCGTGGAGTCCGTGCTCGGACCAACTCACGCACAAGCTGTAGCGCTGGACCGTGCTCTGGGAGGGTCCCTTCGGTACCGATCCAAGTCGCCACTCGAGCCCATCCGATGCCCACAACGCGCACCGCGCTGCCCGATTGGCACCCCGCTGTGCGCGCGACCCACGGAGGCGGCCGACGCCCAGGCATGACGTTCCCCGCCCGCTCCCCCCCCCCGCCGACTCCCCCTCCCCCGCGTGGCCAGGAGCAGTGGCCGAGTACGACAGCAGGCATCTCTGAGGGGCTCGAGACTGTTCCACTCGCCTGCTCATGCTGTGTTCTAGAGCTCGGAGCCTCGTACTCTCCTCCGCAGGCTGTGCTCTGGAGCTCGGGCCTCTTTGGTCCGGCGTTCGCTCCTCCGTGGCCTGCCCCCCCTTCCCTGGGCTGCCCCTGGCCCCTGGCCCAGCCTCCTCGCTCCCCCTGGCCCCAGAGCCCTCCATTGTCGGGGTTCGCTCGTTTGATCCGTGGCCTCCCCCCCCCCGCCGTAGCCCCTTCGACCCCCCATGGCCCTGGAGCCCTGGCCTGCCCCCCGGCCCTCGTCGCTCCTCCTGGCCCTGCAGCCCCTTTGTTCTCGTTGGTCGTTCCTGCGGCCGTGGCCTCGCCGCCCCACCCGTCGGCCTGGCTCTGGCCGTCGCCCCGGCCCCCGTCGCCCCCCCCTTCGCCGCTCCGCGCGCGCGAACTGGAAATGTTGTTAACCAGTTACCGGAGGTCTTAGCACGCCTCTGGCCCGTTGGGACGGAGAATCTTACATACCATGTGTGCTGTTTTTGCCTCGCTATGTTTTTTGTTGTTACCGTTTGTGCGATTATATATATTCAATGGTATCGAAGCGTGTGCAGCTATGGTGTGATCTGTTGTGTACAGTACCATATGCAGTTGTAAGCAACCCTGCTACATGTTTTTTATGCTTTGATGTGCTCTTTTAGTACGGTCTCCTGCTGTCGCGTGCTGGCCTGCCAATCTTTATATGTGGCGGCCCACGAGGGCCTTCGCAGGACCAGCCATGGTCTTGGGGATTCTGGCGGCCGCAGCACGTGGCGGCCCGCAGACCTGGCATCGCTCGGCCGTGTGCATTTTTTTCTCGGCGAGAGCCATCGAGCAAAAAAACACGACGAACAAACACGAACACAACACGCAAAAACGACGAAACAAAAAACACGACGAAAAAAAAACAACGCAAAAAAACACACAACGAAAAACAGCAAAAAAAAACACGACGAAAAACCACGACGAAAGAAAACACATCGAAAAGCTCGACCATCCTGGACCATCGAGCAAACAAAACACGCACGAAACCGAAACGTGCACAGGAAAGGGACTTCCGAGCGATGGCCCGCAAAGGGAGTCCCGCGGGACCGCCGACAGTCTTAGTGATCGGGCGTCCGCAGTGTGCGGTGGCCCACGAAGGGGCCCCCGCGGGACCACCGGAGGTCCCGGGGGATCTGGCGGCCGCGGTGTGCAGGGAGGGTGGGTCACGAGGTCTGGTCTGAGAATCTAACAACTCCAAGCTGTCGGGAAGGGACACATGCCCAGGACCCTCCAAGAACCTCCAAGACTCTTCCCCACAACCTCCCCTGCGGCCTCCGTTTCCTCGACTGAGGAAAGCTCTGCTCTACTGGGACGTTCTCGTCTCCCTGACCATCTTCATAGTGGCGATGGTGGCCCCCTACGAGGCCCTCTTCATGCGGCCGAGGTCTCCGGTGAGGAGGAGGAGGAGGAGGAGGAGGAGGAGGAGGAGGAGGAGGAGGAGGAGGAGCAGAAGGAAGAGGAGGAGAAGCAGGAGCCTCACGCCTCGCCCTCACCCTCCCCCCCCCTGTCCTCTACCCCCCCCCCTCCTCCTTCATCCTCCCCCTTTTTCGGGGGACGCTGCCGGTACTCCCGTGCCGACCACGGCGAGGGCCATCCTGGGCTCCGATTCGCCGTGCGTCGTTGCCTGGCCAAACCAGGGGTGCGCGTGCACCGATCCTGGGCCCAGGATGGCCCTGGTCAGGATCGTTGCAGGTGTAATAAGCGGCACCCCCTAGGCTTAAGTCGGGCCTGTACCTCTACAGGGGGAAATTTTTGAATATTCCCCCTGTAGAGGTGGCTCATTAAATATTTTGAATATTTTTTGAATATTCCCCCTGTGTGGAAATTTTTGAATATTCCCCCTTTTTGAATATTCCCCCTGTAATCGTTTTCGCTCATTCCGCTGGCCCTGGAGCGCTATTTGGGGCCTCTCGGGGCCGTCTTGGGGGCCTCCTGGGGGCTTCTTGGGAGCGTCTTGGGGCTCCTTGGCGGCGTCTTGGGCTCCCCTGGGGCCTCTTAGGGGGCTCTTGGGGGGGGGGGGTAGTCGATTGCAGCCAGCCCCTCGCAGGCCACGATCCTCGTGAGGGGTGGCGAAAAACAGCCTCCCCGCTGGGGATCGCCCGGGACCCGGCCGGGAGTCAGCCGGGGTATTTTCGTCCGTCATCCGGGGCCCGTAGAAAACTAAGTTTTGGTCCAATCTGCGAACCAGCCCTTAGGACCGCAGACCTTTCTTTAACCCATAAATTCGCCCTTAGTTTGGACCTTAGTTTCGCCTTTAGATCGATCCTTAGATTGGCCCCTAGATTGGCCTGTAGTTTGGACGATTGTTTAGTGGATGTGCGTTCCTTCTCAACCACCTACGGCCGCTCGTATGTATCACACTACTAGTGTGCCTATATTTATGTTTTGCTTTTGTAAGGCGACTCGTACTTGTACTTGTTACCGATACCACGACCACGACCACTAGATAATTGTACTCGTATGTATCACACTACTAGCGTGCCTATTTTTATGCTTTGATTTTGTAAGGCTGCCACGACCACATGTACTTATTACCGATACCACGCTTACATTTCCCAGTGGCATAGTTGCAGTTATTCATATATATATATGTGCGTGCATCGCCCACTACATCAAATTCGTGCATCGATTCACTTCCCTGGAACAAGTTCAAACGCGAATCCAGCTACCACTCCGAAAAGTTGTGTTGTTGTTGCTATTTCTCACATCCCCTCCTATAGCACTATTCGTTTTCCTTGCTCTTCCTTCTCCTCATCCCTCCTCGGGCTCTGCCTCGTCGCCGCTTTTCGAGGGACGGGGGGTCGGTTGCTTCGGACCCTTGGCGCCTCGTGGCAGCGGGGCGGTGGTGGGGGCGAAGCCCGCTGTGACGGAACATCGCTGCGATTCGGTTGCTCGGGACCTTTGGCACCCTCGCGGCAAAACCTCGCGGCAGCGGGGCGGCGGCAGGAGCGGAGCCTTGTGACGGAACGTCACTGCGATTCGGTTGCTCGTGGCGCTCGTCATTCTCGCGGCAGTGGGGCTTCGGTTGGGGCGAAGCCTTGCGAAGGAACATTGCCTCGATTCGGTTGCTCGTGGCGTTGGGCGCCCTCGCGGCAGTGGCGCGGCGGCGGGGGCGAAGCCTCGTGACGGGACATCGCTGCGATTCGGTTGCTCGTGGCGTTTGGCCCTTCGCGGCAGTGGGGCGGCAGTGGAGGCGAAGCTTCGCGACAGAACATCGCTGCGATTCGGTTGCTCGTGGCCCTTGGCACTCACGCGGCAGGGGCGCGGCGGTGGGGGCGAAGCATTGTGACTGGACATCGTTGAAATTCGGTTGCTCGTGGCCCATCGGCACTTCGCGGCAGTGGGGCGGCGGTGGGGGCGAAGCTTTGTGACGGACCCTCACTGCGATTCGGTTGCTCGTGGTTTGTGGCGCCCTCGCTGCAGTGGGGCGGCGGTGGGAACGAAGCCTTGTGACGGAACGTCGTTGCGATTCGGTTGCTCGTGGCCCATCGGCATTTCGCGGCAGCGGGGCGGTAGTGGGGGCGAAGCCTTGTGGCGACGCGGCTGCTCGTGGCCATTGGCGTTTCTGCGGCAGCGGGGCGTGGGCGGTGGCGAAGCCTTGTGACGAAACAGGGCGATGGCGATTCGTGCCAGTCAAGCGTCGGCTGTCAAGTGAAACGATTGTGGCACCCTCGTGCCAGTCAAACGCCAGCTGTCAAGTGAAACGATTGTGGCTCCCTCGTGCCAGTCAAGCGCCAGCGGTCAAGCACCGCGTGGGCTCTCAACGAGGTGATGAGATGGGCGAGGGGGAGGAGGACGATGGTGAGGAGAGGGACGAGGGGGAGGATGAGAAGGAAACCGAAGAAGATAAGTACGGGGAGGAACGGAGGTGACGAGGATGCTCGGAAAGAGGAGGACGATGAAGATATTTGGGTGAGGAGTGGGAGGGGTGATGACGATGGTGGTGATGGTAATGACGTTGATGGTGTTGTTTGTGATGATGATGGTTATGATGAATGTTGTTGTTGGTGATGGTGATGATGGTGATGATGGTGATGATGAGTAGGATGATGATGACGATGGTAGTGAAGGTGGTGGTATTTCAAATGTTTCGGCACACCAGAGAGATACTGATAACGATGAGGAGGCGATGAGGACGATGGGAAGGAGGACGATGATGGAATGAGTGGGTGGGGGGATGGTGCATGAATATAGAAACGTGGCTCATCAGGCTGTGTGATTAGCCACGCCGCTCTCGAGCTTCAGTGCCCACAACTATTTGTCCATCAAAGATGATGGCACCTTGTGCAAAGCTGTGCCACTAGCGCATGAAAAAGCTAACGTTTTCATGTGTTTGACGGAATCCTCATCTATCCAATTTGCAACCCGTCTTGGGTTGAGGTGTTTGGCCCGCGACGCAAGGTGCCACATCCAATGCAGCTTGGGGACTGCAGACCACAACATCGTGTTGTCTGCATCTGCGATGTGACCTAACTCGGTGTATGTCAATACAAACGTGTCGACCTCTGCGGCAAGGTGCGTGGCACCTGGAATTGGCAAGAAGGCGTCGTGCGCATTGGAATCCAGTATGATTGCGATCGCATCTAAATTCCTCAACCCACGGTCAACGAGCATGTCGCGTCTGGAATCAGTTTTATGTTTCTGTTGCACGTCTATCAAGGGAGAAATCAGATGCTTGACCTCGCCTCCTTTTCCTTTTAAACTAGGGTGCGAGGTTAGTGTTTTCTTTGGGTCTATAACGGTGCCGATGCCATTTGATGAACATTGGTCTGGGGCTGTGTTTTGTTTGCACTCTTCTAAGGTGTCGCGCCATACAACTTTCATATTCTCAGCTGGCGAACCCCCGAGAATGCCAAATACCAGCAACCAAAGTACTGAACCTAAATAGTACTGGCACACGCCTAAGTATAACACATGTAGTTCGTCGGCCTCAACATTCTCAATCGACAGGTACTGAATCATTTTGAAAATAATGTGCATGGCCTCTCCGTATTCACGTCGCCATTTGTGCTTGTCACGCAGCAAGCTCTTCCAAGGCGCACCTGGTGCGAAATTTGTTGGCCAATGAACTGGATTGGCTGCCGCTTTGCTACACTGGCAATAATCACAAAAACCATCAGCTGCATGATGCTTCATCTTCAAATCTTTGCCGTACCACACTATATCGCCTTTTAAACTCCAGACGACACCGAAATATGGCTCCCCCGCCGAACAAATAGGACCCCCTCTCAACATCACATCGCTTCTAGTTGTTAACTCCTCATCATCCCAATTCCTGGCAGGCCATACACCCTCGAACATCACATTGAAACTCCAACACATTCGCTTCCACACAACATCTGTCGCATCCGCACGGCCTGGAACACCGTGCAATTTGTTCTGCTTGAACATGCCAGTCATGAGAATCTTGACAGCGAGCGTCTTACCAACTGCAAGGGCAGATTGCCACGGCCAGCAATCTAAAGACTTCGTCCCGCTCTTCCCCACCGCTGTCACAGGGACCGCGCCCCCGTGAATCATCACAGGCACGGCCCGCCGCATCCAGTTGTCACGCTCAATCATTGGATGGTGTCGGATGCGCGGGTCGCGCCTCAGCACGACTTGCCTCCAAAACGTTTCCAGTATATCACCGAAGTTGCCGCTGCGCTTGCCAAACATTTTCAAATTGAACTCGAGCCTGTCGGCCCGAACCAGATGACTGAACGCGACGTGGGGCAGCAAGCATGGCAAAGTTTCCCCTTGTATCGCTGGGAGCCGCTGCCGTGGCTTCAACACGAAACTGTGCGCCTTGATGTGCATGGGGGCAGCGAAATCTGGATACCCAACCACCGTTATAATTCACTATTGACATTGCCTTTGTATTTTCCTTGATGTCCAAGTCCAGCCACCGCTTTCAATGCAGACGGTATGTGGTCAATCGATTGTCCGATCTTCGTAAGCATTGCGACGTCACTTGCATAAACTGAAGATGCCAACTCTTGCAACTTTGTAGACGAAAGATACCCCCAAACCCAACGTTTGCATAACTCGAATGCGATTTCACTATCGAAATGCGTTGGCTGCTCTATTTGATCGGTGCTCCGATCTGCCTCATTGCGTCGTTCCGTTGTTGCCGACCGCCCTTTTGTCCCATGTGAGTATGGTGTGCACGCAAGTGTTGAAATGAACGAGAAACGGCTGCGGATGGACTTGCATTATCATTGCCACCACCACCATCATCACCTGATTAGTTTCCTAGGGGTACGGGCGTAGAGATAGTTGCGTTTGGGCTCAACGTTCGGGCACGTATAGTCAGAGATCTGCATGCACAGGGATTGTCAAATCACCAGCCTGGGAGTACAAGCGTTTGCGTTGTCTTGATTGCCTCGGCTCCGCATGCCACCC